TATATATATATATATATATATATTTATATATATTTGTAAAGGAGCTAGTGCAGCTCCAATTTCATTAAAAGGAAAACAAAACTACAAAATTACAAACTTAGTGGGGATCCTAAACAAGGGGATCCCACACCAAAACAACTAATTACACATAAGAAGCTCTAACAAAAGGGAGAGAGAAACAATCTCCTATCAAAAGAAACTCTAGCTCAGGGCAAACCTCATTGCAAATAAGGACCTTTTCAGAGTGAAGCCCAAATCTAGCCAACAAATTAGCTGGTCTTTTCCCTTTCTTGGGGATATAAAAAAATTTAGTGCTCAGCGCCATTCCCATTTTGTGAATGTTAGTAGACCAATAAACCAGGTTCCAAAGACTGTTCAGAAAACCATTCAGAATGTTTATAAGTATGGGGGGGCTGCCAATAGATCAGAGAAAACTTAGGAGGCTTAGGAGCACACATAACAGAAGAAATCAGAATATCATGGAATTTCTTGTACTTTGACAGCTTCTGCATGTAGGCAAGGCAGTTGTGAACAATCCCATTAATCTCAAGCTTAGCATCCTCAAATTTAATATTATTTCTAGACATCCACACAAACCAAATAATAATACAAGGCACCACAAGAACATGGCGATCCAACCATTCCTTCCAACAATGGAAAAACTATCCCAAGTCAGCTGTAAAGTAGATAGCTTGATTCTGCTCAAAATGCTCCTCCAAACTTGTTGCACCGCCACACATTTAAAGAACACATATTGCACAGACTCCTCTTCCTTCTTGCAAAGAACACACCAAGAAGGTCCCCTTAAACCTTTCAATTTTAAGATGTCATTTGTGGGCAGAAATTTATGGAACAACCTCCAACAGAAAAAAGACATAGATGGGGAGAGAAGATTACACCAAATCCTTGATCCCCAATAAACATCATGCTGTGGAAAGCTCTGATTAAAAATAAAGGAAGTCATAGATTGGGAATGACTTTTCTTAACAACCAATCTATTCTTCTTGGCTGACTCAATAGGGATTTTGACAATGTTGTTAACTCAGGATAAATCAACCATTGACTGCAGTGCCTGAATATTCCAGCCATCCTCTTCCCAAAGATCAGCTACCTTCAAAAAACCATCAGCAGCAATAGGGATCTTAGATGAAAGTTGGCCATCCAGAGTCCAGTTATCCAACCAAAAGCTAATATTACTTTCCCCACTTCCCAAATAAAAAGATTTTCAGCTTCATCATTCACCTTAAGCATATTAGTCCAGATCCTAGAATCCCCCAATTTTCTTTGCACAAGAGTAGAATGTTGCTCCTTACAGTATTTACCCAGCATATAGTAAGTCCACAGGGAAGATTGAGCTCTAAATTTTATCCAGAGCTTACAAAAATTGATGTAGAAGATTTGCTGAAAGCTTTTAAAGCCCAATCCCCCAGCCTTAGTAGCCTTATAGATTTTCTGCCAGTTGACCCAGTGAGCTTGTTTCTTCTGACCAGCCCAAAGAAATATGTTAAAGATCATTTCTAAAGAGACCTGAGTACATTTCTTCATAACTACCATTTGGGATAAATAAGAGGGGAGGGTAGTCAGAACACTTTTTAAAAGTGTAACTCTATCCCCGTCTGAAAGAAAGGAGTTCACTCGACATTGCTACCTATCTTGCACCTTCTCCACAATATGGTCAAATTGGATTTGCTTAGTTCTTCCTTTAAGAAGATATGCACACAAATACCTTAGAGGGAGGGACTTGGTACAGAATCCAGTACTATCCAAAATCTAGTGTTTAATGTCAGATTTAACTTGTTTGATGAACACCGCCAAACATTTCTGTGAATTGAACTGCATACCAGAGTGGGACTAAAACTTCTCTAAGCATTGAAGAATTAATTTAACAGCAGGCTTAATAGCTTTAGAGAAGATGATAACATCATCAGCAAAGGCCAAGGGATTAAAATCATATTAGATTTATTACTATACAATGTATGTGGAGCCATGAATGCCAACTGATTAAGAAGCCTAGAAAGATAATCAAATGCCAGGATAGAAATAGAGGAAGATAGAGGATCTCCTTGTTTAATACCTCTAGAAGCACTAAAGAGCCCATGAGAGCTGCCTTTAATAAGTATGGAATGGTAATTATTCGTAAGCCATCTATTGATTAGAGAAATGACTGAAGGTAAGAATCCTCTGACAGTGAGCACTTCCTCAATGAAACCCCACTGAATAGTGTCATAGGCTTTTTTAATATCGAGTTAAAAAATCACATTACCACCTATGCACTATTTATCCAAGTCCAGTACTAATTCATGTACCAGTAGTACATTATCCATTATACTTTTGCCTTGGACAAATGCTGACTGATTATCACTGATAAGCTGAGAAAGATGAGGTTGAATTCTAGCTGCTAAAAACTTACTAATGATTTTAGACAACGCAATAGTAATACTAATAGGTCTAAAATGCTCCCATTAAAATTTAGCTTTATTATTGGGTATCAGAGTGATGGCAAAGCAAGTGAAGTTGAGAGGTCAGTACCCTAGATGGTAGAGCAACCGGATAAATAGAAGCAAATGCAGTAGTAAAAATAAAAGTACATAAAGTAGTTCTACATAAAACATACATTAAAAGTCCGTAATAAGAAGGATCTAAACATCAAATCTATTTCAGAAAAGTAAGTTTAGTCTTATCCTCATCATCATCATCATCATCATCATCATAATCCTCATCATCATCATCATCATCATCATCATAAAAGGGTATATCTTCATCCATGTATTTGTAGTGCTCATATGGAGAAAATTGAGGGCATGTAGGAAACTCAATTGAATGATCTCCCTTCAAAAATTTCACTAATGTCTCATCATATGTCCCATCATAATCACTCTTCCTCTGTACATATTATGTCATATGATCATATTTGACATCCATATTTTGCATATTGCTCTGTATCATAAACATTTTTGATTGGTGATCCATGTATCACGTCCCAGAAAATAGGTGGAGGATCAGTAGCAGTAGAAGTAGAAGGTCGAGAAGTAGAAATAGATGGTGCATCAAGAGCTCTACCTCTAAGTCATCCATAAACATCAATATTATCCTTCTTAATAGGCTTAAGTTGCTTCAAATGCTCTTCCCAAGCATCAAACTTTACTCCAGAGTCTTTGCAAATAGTAAAAAATAAAGAAGGAAAACCCATACCTGCAGTAGTACTAGCTCTGACAAAAGCATTAATATCCTCAAAAATAAGAGAGTCAACATCAATAGGTTCCATTTCTTAAATACAGTAGTTCAAGATGGATTTTTTCTCGTGTCACTTGACCAAAGAAAAATATGTTGAGATTTTCATACCTATTTTATACTAATATTGATGATATTGCACATTAAAGAAGGGTATTTTTGATATTTTGTTGTAGGTATGTATTTTGTTGGTCATTGGAGCAAAAAGATGCAAAAAGGAGCGAATTTGGAGCAAAAAGGACCAAAATATGAAGATTTGAACTAGGGCGCCGACGGCGAGCCCAACGGCGTTGACGACGGGTTTTTCCCAAGAGTCCAGAATCAAATATTCTAGCAAAAAAACTATAAACAAAAAACACCGCCGGCGGCGCCATTGAGGCCATAAACGGTGAGCGCGGCGGTTCTCTTAATAGGTGCATTGAATGTAGACTATTTTTGAAGGGACGCTTAGGCAACTCTTGGAAAACTCTTCTACAACTTTAAGAGAAACATTTGGGCCGAAAAAAGAGGAGCCCCCATGGTGGTGTCCGCTGAGTTTTTGTTGTTTGTAGAGTGTAGAGAGTTTAATTTAGGGTTAGTATTGTGAGGAATTCTTCGAGAGATTGTAAGAGTGGAGGGAAAGTGAGGGATTTCTTCCTCCTTGCCGCTTCAAAGAAGAATTTTGTGTGCTGTAAAGAAAGAAAGAGATTCAGAGGAACTTCGAGGAGTTTGCTTGTGGAGGAATTAGAGACAAGTGGTATTTACTTATTGAAGGTAAGTTCTAAGATTTGTCGTATCTTCTCCATGAATTCTAAGTAATTTTCTCTGTCTTTCTTCTTGTCTTGAGATTTTGTGGAATGGTGATTTGAATTGGTTGAGTCATGAGAATGTTATCATGAGAATGT